TCACAGGCAGCACTTACCGACGAGTCATCGGCTCAAGACTTTGATTCACCCACCCTGGGTGTTCCTGGCAGCTTTCCAGCCCTCAGCCCTCCTACTGGTGAACCAGAGCGACCACCAACTGCCGATTCGATAGCATCAGAAACAACAGAGTTCGATAACGAACCTCAAATTACCCCTCCAAGGTCCTCACAGACGCCGCTCGAAGTTCCCATCACGGTTGTCAAGCCGCCCAGTCCACAGGCACAGAAGTCCGCATCTCCTCCGAAGGCCGAGTATCATTACCCGTTCGAGGATGACCCTGACTCGCCAGTTCGACCAAAATCCGCATCCAATACCGTTGATGTAGCTGAACATGCATTGTCGAAGCATGATGAGGTTATTACGCCTTTCATCCCTGGAGCATTCGATATTCAGGCCAAAGCAGACGTGCCACAACCAGGTGTTGAGTCCTACAAAACTACAATCACCGTTCTGCCACCCAGTGACGAACCAAGAGCGGCTGAAAGCCTTGAAGAAACGGTCCCATTCCCACGAATTGAGCCCCAATATGAATCAGATTGCCATTCTGATTCGGAATACGATGAAGCAACGAGGCAGTATCGCCGCTTTCATGACGATGGTGCTATCACTGACAGTTGTACCGAGGACGCAGAAGAGGCCGGCAGAAACGACTGTAGATCAGAGGTGCCGTCCGACGACCAATTCTCGTCACATCGTGCCTCGACTTGTGAATCTCTGGATACCAACAACGAGCCTCATTATGCTTATGATGAACAGCAGCGGCCGGAGATTTCAACAAATCTTTTGGTACCGACTTTGTCGACGACGAATAGAACAAGTCAGCAGTCAGCGTGGACTGACTTTTCGATCAATAGTGGCGACGTGTCTCCAGCGGGGCGCTCACCAGTGTTTCCCGATGATGATGAGAACGAAACTGGAGATCATGGCCATGTTACAATCTTTGAAACAACATCTATCCATCGAAATAGCCGACCTGTCGAGCGACCTTTGGAAATTCGCAACAGTCAACCGGAGATCCGACCCTCTACTGACTTGACCCAGTCGCCGTATCTAAGTCATCAACTCCCAGAGCTAGACACTGGAGATGGGTTTTCCATTCCTTATCTTTCCAACAGAGCCAGCAAGAGCTTCTCGTACTTCCCATCCCCTAATCACGAACCTCCCCCCATACCGGCTTCAACATCCGGCTCCGCTTGCAATTCGCAACGAGCATCAGGTGTTTATTATGAGCAGTCCCAAAGTGGAAGCACATTTGTCAATTCTGAAAGAGGGTCGCAAGATTACATTCCCATGATGACAACGCCTCAATCGATGGACACCACATCCCTGTCAACCCATAATCAGTATTTCGCGGATGCAACCACTTTGAACGGAGATGCAAACTCCGAAACATATGATAAACAGGGTCCAACAGGAAAGGAAAAGCACCGACTTGTTCAACGACGCAACGTTATAAAAGAGCTTGTTGACACTGAGGCTGTGTTCGTGCGCGACATGAATATTGTTGAAGAGATATACAAAGGGACAGCAGAGGCTTGCCCAAAGCTCGACGCCAACACTGTGAAGCTCATCTTCCGGAACACGGATGAGATCATTGCATTCCACACCTCTTTCTTTGCGCAGATCAAAGAGGCAGTTCTAGCTGTTTACACGATGCAGAGCCGGCGGTCTGCGCTTGCTAGGGAAGGCACATTGATATCGGAGCCCTCGCAGTTTAATCCTGCTGACATTGATGATACCAAAGATCGCTCCGTCCTGATCGGCCCTGTTTTCAAAGCCAATATGGAGAAGATGAAGCTCGCTCATGAAGGCTTCTTGAGGAACAGTGATGGGGCAGCCAAACGACTCATCCAGATACAACAGGATCCCACGGTGAAAGTCTGGCTCAATGAATGTAACGAAGTTGCGAAGGACCTGACTGCAGCATGGGACTTGGACTCACTCTTAATTAAACCAATGCAGCGCATCACCAAGTATCCAAATCTCATTATAACGCTGTTGCAGCACACCCCACAGGATCATCCCGATCGAGAAGGTCTAATTGAGGCTAAAGAGATCCTCGAGACGGCCATCATCGAGATCAACAAAACCAAAAAGAACTTCGAACTTGTCGGCCAGATCGTCGGCAGAAAGCGAAAGGAATCCGATGTTAAGGCAGGATTCGCGCGCGCATTCGGTAAAAGAGTCGACAAGCTCCAAGCGTCAGGTACCCGAACAAGTGAAGATTCCGAATATGCCAAATTGAACGAGAAATTTGGCGACGATTATCTGCGATTACAAGTTGTTCTCCGAGATGTCGAATTCTACACGAGGCAGGTATCTGCCTATGTACACGAATTTTTGCAGTATCTGTCTTCCATCGAGTTGGTGATGAGGCTACAGCCAGGAAACCATCCTGAGCTTGAAAGCAAGTGGGTCCAGTTTAATATCTCGATGCGAGACCTTGAAAAGGTTGCGCTTGAGGAGCATGTACGTTGATTGCTTGAGTGACGCTTGTCGAAAAGAGTACTGACGGATACCAGTTATCGCAAGTCCGAAAACATGTCATTGAGCCGTTTGAACATGTTATCAAAGCCTATGGTAACCCGTCTTTGGCAATGAAAAAACGTCAAAAGCGCCGTGTGGACTACGAGCGATACGAACAGCTAAAGCGCGCGGGCAAAAGTATTGACTCCAAACTCAACGAACTTGTTGAGCAGTACGATGCTCTGAACGATACGCTGAAGAAAGAGCTCCCCAAGCTGTCTGCTTTGACTGAAAAGGTGGGCAACATCTGTCTGGGTAACTTTGTTAACATCCAAACGAGATGGTATGGGATATGGAAGGACAAGATGAAACTAGTTTTGGGCGACTGTCCTGATATGCCGGATCTTAAGGAGGTCGTGGCAACTTTCCAACGCGACTTCCCCTATCAACAGGAGCAGTTAGCCAGTATTGGTATCCTCAATCCCATGTATCGGGGTCGAATTTCTCAGTCAACCACACGGAGTACCGAAGAATCATCATCCATGAGGATGCGATCACGTCCGTCTGAGAGTGATTCGCGGGGTCGAGGTCACTCAATCAGCGGTGAACAGGCCCCAAGCGTTCCTGCACCCGAATTCACAAAACGCCACAGCGGTTCGTATACTGCATCGCCTACAGGTGTCACTGCTGGGAACATCCCTAGTCCACATCAGTATTATTATCGTGACTATTATTCGGGTATCGGGAACCACCAGCAGGGCACTGCATCTCCTCTCTCTCCAGATCTTCCTGGTAGCACGCGATCATTCGCCGCCTCTACGAGACCCAGTACAGGCAGAAGTTTTGACTCTGGGGGACTTCCACGACAGAGCTCAGACTCAGCTACACAACAGCTCCGAGACTCCCATACGACCTACAGTTCACAGAATCAATCACAAGAGGGCCGACGGTTTTCGGGGCTTTTCCACTCAGCTTTGCCACCAGCTGACGGACCTGAGGATAGTGCTCGATCGTCTCGGGCATCTTCAAGGGAGCGAGGACCCACAGACGACGGGTACAATGTGCTTTGGCTAGCGGCTTCCCTCTTTGAGTTCAATATTGCAACGACAAAACACGAAGCTGGTTATCCGTACTTGGTATATCAGGCCGGCGAAGTAAGTTCACTCACTTCACAAATGACCTTGGTTTTTTGGCTGCTAACTGCTAGTCTAGATCTTCGACGTCCTTGGTGAGAAAGGAGAGCTCTGGTTAGCAAAGAACCAGGATGATCCGGACGATCGCGTCGGGTGGATTTGGTCAAAGCATTTTGCCAGGCTCGCTGATTCATAACCACAGCCCCAAACTGCGATCTAATCAACTACGCAACACATCCAAGATTTATACTAGGATTCAAGGAAGGAGCTTGGGCGTTTATTACACGGACATTACGATTTGAAACTGCAGCAAGATTCACCCGGTTCTAAGACGCGTCCATCTTGATCAGCATTTTTAACATTTGTCTTCTATGAGTTCATTCTCGCCTTTTCTTCAACCTTCAGCTCCTATTTATGCTGAACTCACTGTTCGACAATGTGTCGTTTGGTTCAGTTTTCATTTGTTTGTTTGGGCTTGTATTTGGGTAAAAGCCTTCAATGTCCTATACGCGAAAGCAGAAACACGGGATGAAAGAGAGGCGTGGTTGGGGCCTTGAGTTTTAAAGCAGGGGAGCCAGGCGTTCAGAGCAAAATACCAACGTATGTAAGATTTCAGGTGTGAATAACGAGGGATGAACCCGAAAACAACTTGGGCGGGTAGTGCTTGCTTGGCCATAAAGTTCGGTTGCATCTTGCTACCAGGGGAGGAAATGTAAAGAATCGTGTTGACCAAGATATGGAATGAGATACCAGTGGCCCAAGCATGATGAAGCTTAAATTATTAAATTTGGTCACGTGGATCGTTATGTGCGGTCTTGTATTGTTATCTTGGTGACAAGATCTTTGTATGGTGTCTTTTGGCACTCTTATTGGGTTTGAGCATCATTATTTCGTTGTCTTGATACCGACTAACATATGGTTACCTAACATTTAATGTTCATCATACCTGTACTCATATACCAATTGGTAGATAATAACTCTAACATGTGACTTGGAACTAATAACCCCAGGCTGGAACGTTGGAAAGATCCACTGCGGTAAACAGACAGGTCCCGCCCTTGCAGGAGAAAGGGGGCGGGGGTGACATACTACCACCGCTCACAGCGCTAGGTAGAGCAATAGGTTAGTAGGTACCTCTTTACCTAAGGCAAGTAGTACTCTATAGTACCTTTTATGGTGCCAATCAATCTTGGCTGCTTGGTGAGTACCAACAATCAGCTGCAAGTCTGGCATCTCTACTTTGCCCTTCCTACATTACTCGACAGCTTTGCCAAGTCTTTTGCTTCAATTTAACCCCTGGCAGAGCAAGAAGCTTCGCGAAAAGGTACTGTTAACTCTTTCAAGGTTCCCCCATTTCATGACCCACACAACCTACACAATATGCCCGCGACAAGCTCGCCGGAAGAGCAGGCGGTCGATCGCGAGTACCCGCAGCGGCATCGTCATCATCCTCATCAGGAACTTGGACCGTTGCAGCATAACCACAACGTGGCTGAATTCCAGTCTCGGCTTCATTGTCAACAGAATCAAAGCTCATGGTCAACTTTACAGCATCAAACCTCCCAACAGGATTTACGTCATTCGTATCCTCAGTCTAATACTCACCTCACTGTCCCGAGTGTACCTGCTGCAGGCTCGACATCCCGCTCGTCTTCAATTTCTCCTGTTCCAACACCGTCGATATCTCCCCCAGCTTCTGCCGTATCTATCGACGCTCTGTATTCACCCCGAGATTGTTCGCCGCCAGTGCCAACTCCCTCTTCGACCGGTACCGAGGTTTACGGCAGCCATCCGCAGCGAGACTCATACGACCGCAATAGCTCGGGGAGACACAGCCAGGATAACATTAGCCTTGAACCTCAAGGGCGCAATCCGGCCAACATGGCCAGCTGGTCAGGACAGCCCGCGATCAGAGGCAACTCTGAGGCTGTGCGCATGATTTTATTGAGTTTCGTTACTATTGGCATAACGTACGTTTACTTAGCCTGCGAGCTGCAGCAACAGCGATCCAATTTGAGCTGGCTTCCTAACATTGGTTCATCTAGTTTCACATGGGGTATCGAAATGACATGTAAGTCTACAGTTTCATCATCTCCTGGCGTAACTTGCTGAAAGTCTTTAGACTGCACGCCATATCTGCTTAATCTTGGTTTAACCAAAAGCAACACATCTCTAGTATGGATTGCTGGGCCGTTGTCCGGCCTTATAGTTCAGCCTGTTGTCGGCGTCATTGCGGATGAGAGTAAGTCTAAATGGGGACGTCGGCGACCGTTGATGGTCGTTGGCTCCATTATTGTTGCTATAAGCCTCCTGGTATTAGGTTTTACCCGTGAGATTGTCGGTTTCGTGGTGACCGATGATGAGGCTGCCAAGCGACCTACGATAGTATTGGCTGTATTGGCCATCTATGTTGTTGATTTCGCTATTAATGCCGGTATGGTGCCATGAACGTCTCTTTAGCTCCGCCAAAACTAACGACTTTTTCAGTTATGTCATGCTCCAAGAGTCTCATTGTTGATACGTTACCAATCGACAAACAGCAGACGGGGGCGGCTTGGTGTAAGTTTACACATGTTGCTTTAATGAGAGTCGAATTAATGTCTTTTGTAGCAAGCCGTATGTCTGCAATTGGTCATATGATTGCGTATGGTGCCGGGGCTGTAGATTTATTGAAGCTTTTTGGAACCACGCTCGGCGATACTCAGTTCAAACAGCTCACAGTCATCTCGACCATTGCTCTTCTGAGTTCAACGTCACTCACTTGCTGGGCCGTTACAGAGCGGGTGCTGGTAGCCTCCAAACCAGCCCAACATGAGGGTCGCTTCAAAGTCTTTCGCCAAATCTGGGCGACACTTCTAAACCTACCTCCTCGAATTCAAGCCATCTGCTGGGCACAGTTCTGGGCTTGGATCGGTTGGTTCCCTTTTCTTTTCTATAGTACCACATGGGTTGGTGAAACATACTTTCGTTACGACGTGCCCGCCGATGCGAGGAAATCCAAGGATACTCTCGGTGCCATTGGGCGCATAGGAAGCACTGCGCTTGTTATTTACTCCGTAATCACATTTGCAGGTGCCTGGATTTTGCCCATGTTTGTCCAGTCTCCTGAGGACAACTCCTTTACCCACCGGCCTCCTCAGGCAATCGCAGGCTTCTTGACACGGTTCAACAAGGTGAAGCCTGATCTATTGACAGCTTGGATGTTTGGGCACCTAATGTTTGCTGCGTCCATGTCCTTGGCGCCATTTGCAACCAGCTTCCGATTTGCGACTGTTCTGGTGTGTCTATGCGGCATGTAAGTCTGGCAGCAGCTCTCCGCCCTCCGTATGATACTAAAGCGTACTTAGACCTTGGACTCTCGCCATGTGGGCTCCGAGTGCTTTCCTCGGCGTAGAGGTCAATAAGCTCGGAGGTGGCGCCGGATCAGATGGTGCATATCGTCGCATTTCGGACGAGCCCGACATTGAGCTCTCCGAGATCAGCCACGATGATGCAGCTTTGCAGCTTGACCACGGTTCAGAGGTTGGCATGCCATCTACGGCTTCTACAGGCGAGTTATCGGGTATATACTTCGGCATCCTAAACATCTATACGACGTTGCCACAGTTTGTTGGTACGTTTATATCTACCATCGTGTTCGCGGTCCTCGAGCCTGGAACGAGTCCCGAGCTCGCGGGTGATGAAAAGAAGCAGCCAGATCCAGATGGTCCGAACGCGATTGCGGTGTGCCTATTCATCGGAGCCATGAGCAGTTTGGTTGCAGCATATGTGACCCGGAAGCTAAAAGTCATGTAAGATAGACAACTCTGCGGGGTTATCATGTATTACTTGTGTTCTTGCTAATTATGTTGCAATTCTTTGTTCATGACTCATCTGACTTTAGGGTTGAATATTGTTTTGGTGTATTGGCGCATGGGTCATTGTCGGCATGGGCTTGAGACTCATATAGTGAGTCGTAGCTGTATTTGGGTGCGGTATGAGTGTAGAGCATGCCAACGATCATGATATGCGTGACTAGAGTTCATCACCATAGTTCGGCTCTAATTGATATCTAAGATAGAAAAGATGTGACTACGCTAACCACATACACGCCAGAAATCACAGATGTCGCAAGGGGTATCCTCCTCCAGTGTCGTCTCTTTCTCTGAAATCACTAACGCATCCGTACCATCCCACCTCATGGTCTGAATTGGTGTCCCCTGAACCGCGTATACAGTGATTCTATTTGTCCTTCTCATTCTCAGCTTCGGATACCTTCTCCCACTCGTCCTCCGTACTAACATTTGATTGTGTACCGGTAGCCCCAGAACGTTGCTTCACTTCGCCCTTTGACTGAAGAGGCTCGACTCCAGCAGCAGCAGCTACAGCAACGTCAGAGGTTGTCGCGGCGACGGGAGACGGCTTGCTCGGGACAGTCGTCTCGACCTCCGTCTCGCTGTCTTCACCATCGTTACCCGACACCTCTTTCTGTTGTTGCTTCTCTTTCTCCTCCTTTTCACGCTGCTCTCGCTGGGCGATGGCAAGCTCGGCGGCAAACCAGTTGACGCTCCACCACAAACCGCCACAGAGGATGGAAAGAATGACGCAATGGATATTGTACGTAGCGAGCAGGAGACAGAATAGGACGATTTGGAGAGCGGCAAAGGAGGCATTCGCGGCCTTGAGGATGGTGGGCGTCGGGCCTGGGGTAAAAATGTCCTCCCAAAGCTTGACGATGAAGGATGACATGGTCGATGCTCTATCGCGGGGTCGCTATTGGCGGGGGTTTTGTTGTTCAAAGCAGTGGGCTATGGAAGGGAGGATCCTGGTAGCTTGATCGCGTTGATGTTACGACTCTGTACCGTATGTAACGAGGGAAGACAAAGATCTTTATGGTGTAATTCTTAGTTCGTAGTTGCAGGTTTTCTTCTTCTCAAGGATAGAGGCGGTCGCTGCCTGGCGACCACTCTATTTCGCTAATAGCGCAACTTTGTACCAACCGGCTTTGTACGAGTGTTCTTTGTGGCCCAGATAAGCGAATCTATCCGTGAATAGAAGAGAATAGCCCGTATTGAAGCAGTACTTTGAACGTTGGTTGAATATCGGGCTGGTGTGTCTTACTAGAGAGTGTACCTGCAATGACGACAGGTGGTTGGTTCCTAGACCGTGAATGACCCAGATCGCGTGCCGGGCTTCTATTGGATTACATAAGGGCATATCGCCTTTGAGACTGTTTTCAGCATGACCCCGTGATGAGAATAACAATCCAAGTATGTCTGTGTTGCTTTTTCTTGTTTTAGTCGTAGGATGAATTCGTTGGCCTTTTCCCTTGAATGCTCTCCTGGTCGATGGATCCTAGGGCGTAAAACCGCATCACTCGTATTTTGTTTATTCGTGTCATCAAACTCGTAAAACGTTCACCATTCACCGTTTCCATGACGCCAAGCTTCGCTACCGGAAACAACAAAATACACAATTTAATCATCACGATAAGGTGAGAACGTGTCAGTTTACAGGAATACCACAAGAGTTAATTCCTTTCCACTATCCTTGTTGACATACAGACCTAATCGATGCGAGGTTCCAGCAACTGGGATAAAGTAAACTACCCTATACCACGCCGGTTGATAGAACCATAACTGCCAACTCTGATGGTCATATTAGCACCCAGCCTTTAAGAAGCTTGAAATGTAACGATAATCAATCGAAACTGGCTAGAGCGGGATATGATATAGTCGTTTCGACCTCTATGTTTTGCCAATATGTATGCTATATCAGTGGTAGGAAGATGCCGACTGACACAACACAACTAAACGTAGTTTCACAAACACATCCTGTTCATAAGGATAACTTATGTGAACGAACGGCGATGTTTATATGTCAAAATAAGAGCTATACAACAGTTTGCCGCACTGAAAAGCCGCATTGCCTGACGTTGCCGCTCGAAGTGAGACGAGAAGAGATCACCAACGCCAAGGCAAATAGATATAGCCAATCATAACACAGTCTGACCGAAGCGCATATGACCGATTCTAGCAAGAAACTTTAATGTAAGCGGAAAGAAAATAAAACCGATTACTCCACTTGATTGATCTGAGCTTGGACAACATTCTCCATCCTATCTTCGTTCCAACACTGATCCCATGCACAGCCTCAAAAGGCAAAGACCCCCCCCCGGGGCGCCATGAGGCATAAGGACAGGAAACACAGGACAGTCCACAGCCACCCCCGTGATATAACTGTGCCCCTGGCTAGTAGTCTCATCAACATCCAGGATTCCACTGGACGAGTTGACACATGTCCAGGGTCTTCAGCTGCATCCTCGGGTCAGTATTCACCCTATTCCGGATACTACATAGCTTCCATCTATCATCTCCAACTTCACCCAACTCATGCATTGTCGGTCACAAAAGAGAGACCGTTGGGAATCAAGACCCTGTATTTGCGCCTCTTGCAAAGAAGGTTGCGGCCGCTAGAAGAAATCTTACCCGAAGGATTCGGTACGTTGTTCTTTTCGGCCCACCCCCTTGGTTCGTACGGCAGTGATGGGGCTCAGGTACCGACCGCATCCCCAACAGCTAGTGAACAAATGAACCTGTATAGACTCCCTCCTCCTCATCCCGCCATTAGTATGATGCCTGCATGCCACAGTTTACCATATGACCGTTGACGCCGTCCATGCATATCATCTCGCAAGACTCGGGGGAAGAGAGAAACATGGCGTAGAGTAACTCTTGATATTCCTAGGCGAAACCCTGTGGAGGAATCCTACAAGGAAAGGCATATCTTTCTGTTACAAGTTGCCTTTGGTCCTTCGAACTCCGAACGTAGGCTAGCTTGGGCATTCTTCACATGTTCAGTCTGACCTACCAGTCTTCAGATCCACCCCCTGTCTTGCTTGATCAGACTTCAACCAGTTTCTATGACTATGACCTGACCACCAGGGTTCAATGAGATATGGCCACCATCAAACATGTTTGCTCTTGTAAGCAACATGGTTGTTCGATAACGTTCAGGATTCTCAACAGCAGAAGCTCTGATGTACATACGGGACTGTACAACAACTAGTCCATAACTTGCTCAACAGGCTTTGTCATTCCAAGAAATTGAAGGACCAGTTAAGAGGGTTGTTTTCACCTGGGCCGAAGGCGGTAAGTTGACGCTACACGGATATCTGGGCCGTGAAAAGGAGGCTAGTTGTCCAGGGTACATGAGGCACTGAACGCTCCCGCGGGTATTGACTGATAGTGGAACACGCATACGATACGCCTATATAGAGAGATTTGAACAGGACCATAATATAGCTGGAGACTACCCTGTTTCAGTCAAGCGAGTCCTGAAGAAAGTCAAGAAATACACATGTTGTGTTGCTCTCGGGGGTTGCAACTTCGTAGCTTCGACTACCTTGAGGATCTCACAGACTTTGGCCTGCAAGGCATAGTATCTTGACGTTAGAAGATCCGTTCAATGCTGAACTTCCATAAATCAAATCACATGGAAGTGCAGGTAAAGTTTCATACACAAGATGTTTCACTAAACAACACTGCCTCATGTCTAAGACAATGAGATGTTGACGGATCCCGTCGTTCTCCTGAGCACCATCTTTTCATGTCATAATGGGCTGCAACACAACATTCAGGGATCAAAAGATCGCACAGCTCGGGACCGAAGAATGCGGCAAAGCCCAGTGGCTACGATCGCAAAACATGAAATCTTTATTTCTGCATCACGCTCGGTGACGGTGATTCTGCTAGCAGTCGGTGTTCGCGTTATGAAGAGCATTCGACGATAGCCTCTAGCTAGAGAACGCCCCTTACTCAGAAGGTTTCTCTTTTAATCAAATACGCTTGCATTGATCTTCCCAGCAGAGTCAGAAATGTAGCGAGCAGCTGCTGAAGTTTGTATCTTTATGTACACTATAACATGGATACTGTACCGGCTATGGAACCAAGCCAGGATCCCTTGTCGTCCAGTGATCGGGTAGAGGTTCTGGACGTCACGTTAGCTAATAGAGCTTGTCGATCTTCAACACACGGCTTGAGACTTGAGCCTTCATTACCGAGACGACCGTGACAAGGCAAGTTCGCCAAGGCTTGATGCACAGAACCCACCGAGCTAGACCAGGCGAATATGCCTGTGTTGTTATGCCAATCCTAATGGTTCCGTTATTGCTGAGTATTAGAGGAGGGACTGCTGAAAATTGCTCGAGACGGTACCGAATACTGGATCAGGGTATGACGACGGCAGTGGCGCTATGCCATAACCATATTCTTGCAGGCTTTCTCGTAGCTTATTAGTTAGACGATGAGTGACCAGTTTTGCCAGTCTGCCTTGCCCACTGCTTAACTGGTGTCTGCTTGACCAGTACACCCCTCAGACATGTACAAGCCCTTAATACCGAAATGGCATCGATCGCCTCTCCAGGCAGCGACATAAACCAATCTGAGGATTGCAGTAGTCTAGGCCGATCGAAGCTGAGCCCCTCGAGCTGGAAGCATTGGTTTCATCCCTAGTAGGAGGCAATCTGGTTTGACCGGAGCTTTTCGCGGTGTGATCTCTAGTGCTCTAGAGGGAGGGATCATGGCCGTTTCGTTGATCCCTAGGGTCAATTCTGGGGATCTTTTTAGGAGGACGGAACCGTGGCGTGTCTGAAACATGCGTGGCCCCCATGAATCGTGCGTGCTTTGATGTTTTATGGCTCTTTGAGTAGGCTTGGCTTTCTCAGCTTTCCTGCAAATGGACTTAGTGTGTATTCAACTGAAGGGTGGGGATGCCGCGCGCGTAGATTAGATTGGGTGATGGCCAGATAGCTTCGCCAAAGCTAAGACCCAGTTCTTGCCTTGGGAATACTGCTTCTCCATGCGGATGATCAAATGGCTCGATGTTCAGAACCAAAATGTCATTTCCCACATCGTTTGCTGCAATTACTTGCTGTAATAGATTCAGAGTAGTGCCGCATGCTTGCATATCAACGGGCTGAGCTCTCTTGAAATGGCTAGTGCTGTCCAGTTTTGGTAGTATGCAGTAAGCTCCTGGCATATTCTGGTACCCATTTGTAGGCCAATCTGAGATTCCGAGTATTGGTTGAAACAATGAAGGTATATTTCAAGCGCTGTTCTAGTGAGCAGATAATATCATGTATTCAATGCTTCCGAATTGGATGTAGCTCAAGCACCTGGAAGATGTAGATGGTTCAAGAATAACAGCCTTCAAAAGTAATACTCGAGGAACCATCACGAAAGAACAAATGACAACTAATCAATCGAAAATTGTCAAACATCCAAATCGACTAACATCAGCCTTGAAGCGGCATTGCCAAAAATGACAGACACTGAAGTATAGTACCAACCCGACGTTAATCAGATCTTTGATTGATCTTGTATCCTCAAACCGTCAGAATGCCGAGGGTGGTCCATATCAGAATCTCACATACCTACCTAGCTTATCGAACAACACAGCGGCTCACAACGCTAAGTAGGTATGGGCTATACCAGTGAAATAAGATTCCTTTGTCAGGGCTTAAGGCACAATCTGAGGATCTGGGTGTGGAGTTGTTCTCTGCTTTGTTTCACACATAGGGTGATAACAAGAGGCTGTGCTATGTTTCAAATGGACATAAGATCATGAAAATTTAAGTGTCTGTGGTACTTGCGGGATGACCATTATAAGCTCAACAGGCAAGGGTTAGCTAGGCCTCAAGCTCTGGGCCCATTCATCGGTAATAAGGCTTGAGCCAGAGAGTTGTGTTCCAGCGTTTCTGTACATAGTTGTAGGGGCTTGGCCCGCACTGCGCGATGAAGATTGCCAGCATAGACCTGGAAGTTTGTGCACTGGGATCGCGAAAACGTCTAGTGTTGGTTTTGGTTAAGCTATGACCCTGCCAATTCTTCCGATTGGCTTCCTAGGAGTCGGGGGCCAAACGCTAGGCTGCTGATCCACGTCAATGTCCTTTTGTCGCACTGCGCCATTTGGCTTAGACGATCCCCGCTCTCTTGGACATTGGCTCGTTGCGCGCCTGTGGAATAGGAGAGTCATATCGATTGGCTCTATTAGACGCCGTCAGCGCTGCAGCCGTTTTGTCCTGGGGTCTTTACGAGCTGCTGCAAGCATGGCCAAGCCACCATAAAGTGGAGTTCAGTGTTGCAATCGGTCAAGGCTGCCCTGATGCATCGGACCGATGCAAGCCAGAGTCCGAGTTTTTGGATCTGTCATCCTCGCCAAACACCTACTCGGGCTCATTGTCCTATAATTCGTCTGAGGCCTAACTGGCTGAAAGGGTTAATGAAAGGTCTCAGTGGTGGTGCAGGTGGACTGTGAGAATGATGACGCACAACCGATTCTGACCAAGCGACCAAGCGACGAAGCAACACGAGGGGATGGGGGGTATACAGTCTCCCGGTGATTACCTAAAACGGAAATAGACTCGATACGTAGCAGATTTCGCGCTTAGCGACCTATGAGAGCTTTGTGGTTGCTTTCGTGCATGGCTATTCCTGCTGCCTATCTGGAATGTGAGAAATGGAGGGTAAGGTACCAATGGGGGCGGATGAGTGAGCAATCGAACCTGGGGGTCTGAGGATAAGGGAATGGAGCGATCACGGGGGCTGTGCGTGACAATGATGATAGTCAGTCACCCATGCCACGTTGTTGAACCAGGATGTTGTGTTGCATCTTCGATGATAGATGATACCTTGTCAATAGGGAGAGGGGGAGATGCTAAGTCAACAATGATAAATAAGGTAGAATGCACTGAGAGTGTGAAAGAGAGTGCCCCCAGCGGTCTGACAGTCAGAAAAAGTCCGTGAAGTGGGAAACTGCCGGGCTAGGCTAGTTGCCCTTACCACCACCCTAACTTGACCTGGTGTCATTAACGTTGAAAGCCAAGAGTCGGCCGCTCGTGGAAGCGAATCGACAGGGAACATAACTGGGAGGGAAATGGGTTGATAGCGACTTGCGCGGTAGCGGGGGAATAGAATGGATGGCCGCAAGCATTATTCATCCTTCTAGCGCAGTTAGTTGCGCCTGTCAATGGCGCCTACCTAACTCACCCCTACCTAATCAACTCCTTCCGCTTCGCTTGTTCAGACCAACCACGCGCCAAAAGCGGAAGGCGTCTACTAGTCACCATTCGCTCGCACCCGCTTCCTGGGTCTGGGAGAAACGGCTATGCTTTTGTAATCAACCTGTCTGCGGCAGTAGGGGAGCCATTCCGACTTATTCCACGGGCCGGCACTCAGTCAATTCAGCGGCATGTCAAGCGGGCGCCGCGCGCCTCTGAACCCCCCGTAGATGGGAGTAGTACAGTAGCATTGGATGGGGATGCCCCCTAACACCCTCCCCCTCTGTCCATCCCTATACCCATTGTCCTGTCCTTTCTTATCCATGGATCGCCGTGGACCGCCCTTCCAACGATGAGCCCGCGACCTTGGCCCTGGATTCGATTACTGTCGACCCGCTCACTTGTACAAGCCTATTGGACTGGCTGCCTGTTCCAGGGTGCTTGTCCTGGACGGCTAGAATTTACGTGACGAACCCCTCTTGGCAAAAATCAAATCGTTGAACCTTTGTCGAGATGCGTTAAGACCGTCCTATCTCCACGACCAGAGTGATGGGCCTAACTAGACTGTACCGTTTAGGTCGAGGATTGACGAGACTTTCGTGGCCCTAACGACGAGCTTGCTTCTCGCCTAGCATTTGCGCTTGCTCTTGGCGGCACGGAAAACACGCTACGTATCACGCTCATTTTGACTCGTGCTATTGGATTGACGCGCTTGGAACATTATGCCATTGGATTGGGCCTCAGAAGGGCACGAGTACTAAGTTGTGGTTTCTGCACAGCCAAGGAGACGGCTCCTTCTCGTTTGCATCGACCGCTCACTCGTTGAGCCCAGAGAGAAGCGAGCGCAAGGATTCGAATCCCACGACTTTCTTTGGACTCTTCCCGTGTCTGTCGCCTCTGAGCATTGCTCCCCTTCCAAGGAAACATTCGAAAGCCATCGATTCGTAGTTGTCAGCCAACTGCCGCCTGCAAAGCATAGCACCCAGTTTGCGCGTGTTCCATCGCGTGCCATATCATGAATGCAAACCAACTTCACAAGCAAGGTCCAAGGTTCAGAATTGACGCGTTAGCGCCAGGCGTCAAATCTCGACGCCAGCAGGGTTTCGGCCTTTAAACCGCGAGACGCATACGCAGCACAAGCGATCATTGGCAACCGTGAATCAGCCTGAGAGCACAGCATATAACTGGCATATGGATCATGTTGCACCTCTCTATCCTTTCATCGCTAGACATAACTGGCCTGGTATTCCAAATACCCGCCAGCTGCGGCACCAGCCCAATCTCAGAACGTTTCGGCTGTCGTCTCATTGTGCCGGTCCATCTTGGGTACGATGAGTTGAGCGATGGGGTCTGTTACCATGACCCGCTTGATTTCGACGTGGGAGGAGAGCCCACCCATTTGATGGAGCCTTACAAGGTGGGTGCGCGCGCACTCATGACCCCATGTCAGCTCTAGCCGTCGCATGGGTACCTCGCTGGCCTGGTAAGGCAATCGACATGGGTGCTAAACACGCTGCCGGTCAACTTGAAATCGATGGGTGCTTGCCCTTTCCCCGCTACGCCACATACCAACACCATGACTTCTGGTCCCTTGGGCCATAGCTACCGGATCTCTTTCTCTGAACACGCCCCCCAGCCCTTCGTTACCCAAGCTATTTTCCCCATTTCACTTCCAATGGTGCCACTCCCGCAATCATTATTCACCCTTGTTACCGGCATGTTTTCTCATTGCTCAGCGTACGCTATAATGGGGCATTCTACACAGCACTGCAATTCAGACCCTTGTCGGGTACTGCCCTGTACTAATGGTTCCATGTCACTCAAGCCTTCTTCGAGGAAGGTTTCCTGTCAGTGTTCCTTTACTTCGTCATGCACGTCCAACGGGATTGTGTACTGCCCTCTTCATATAAGTCGGCATCCTGTCCCTGGCCGTGTTTGGGGCTCAGATGGTCCATAGATAGATCACCGCTTTATAACCAAGCTTTTCGAGTCTTCATCTCTAATCAGCTTCACAAGACATTGTTATAAGCCTCGTTCCCTTACTTATTAATCGCACCTCGCAACAACAAGACCACTCTATCATCGGCTACATAGCTCTTTGACTTCCCGTATGTCTCAATCCGAGTCTCTATACCTTCCCTTGTCCCCTCCATCCTCAGTCAAGATGGACTCGAACACGACAGATGGAACCTGTGACAACCCGAGCTCACCTCCCGCCAGGTCAACTGTTGGTAGTCAAGTCTCTGTCAGTGGGGAGTTCGTACTTGGCTCAAACATAAGTGCCTCGCCGCAAACTCATACGCTCGAAATATCCCCTCAGCCTCCAGTTCCCTCGCCAAACCATTACTCATCCACACCCTACTTGAACACTCCAACCCCCGAGTCTACTTACCTCTCCACACCTGCCTCTCAGTCATATTCTCAGTTTCCAACCTTGGCTTCAGCAGGCATTGATTCAACCTGGAGTCAACCAAATCAAGCTCAGGAGGAACCAAGATCATTGATTTCCTTTCCCCAAGAGGACAGGCATCAATTGGTATCGAACTCTCGTCAGGCAGGACGATCGACCAGCATGAGGTATTATTTCCTCTTGTCTTGAACTCTACATAAAGTACTAATATTACTATTCAAGCACTGTTGCTATTCAATTTGATCCAGCCTTTACCATGGGACCTCGATCAGCCTTCACATGGCCAGGTACGTTGCAATGTCTCCTACTCGATTTCAGTCGAAATTGACATCCTTATAGGCCCTCTTGAGACAAGTAACTCTGGAAACAGTTTGCTTAGTCCTGGACTGCCTTCAATGGGACATGTTTCTGGAAGCAGCCTCACACCCCCACCACAGTCGAGATCCGTGACATCGAGCCCCCCACGATTGTCTCTTTCGGCAGACCAGCGAGAAGTCAAACGACAGTCAGATAGGGCACGTCGAGACTCGAGGCTGGTGAACAGAATGCGCCGCGCCAACAGTAACCCTTACGTCGATTCTTCGCCTTCGGCTTTGGGGCTTGCCACTACCACAGCAGCTATGAACATCTCAGCCTATACAACGGCACCTGCTCCCGTGACTCTCATGAGCGATACTCCGACTACAATGAGCAGTTCGACATATCTTCAATCTTACAGCCCATCCCTCGAAGACCACCAAACGCAATCCGCACCCGTTTATCCTACCTCATACCCACAAAGCTTGTAAGACCCCTGCATATATAAGGCGGCGCCCGGACCATGCTAATCTCTGGCCATCAGGCAGGCGAACTATAATATGCCCGTGGATTATGCAGCAGTTTATGCAGGATCCAGTCAGTATAGGTATTTTGCCAGCGTACATATCTTTCGCGAGCAACGCTGACTGTTTGTAACAGTACTCGACCACCGCCTGTACCTGTTGGCCAGGACGTTGGTTTTATGTATCAGGTACCTACCGTCCTAGGCCCTGGAGGCGCAAACACGCAAGAAGCGGGACATGTCAGAGTCGTGCAAAGTCGGCCGAAGCCGCGATGCTGGGAACACGGGTGCAATGGACGACAATTCTCGACTTTTAGCAATTTGTTGCGACATCAGCGCGAAAAATCTGGCCAAGCCGCAAAGGCTTCCTGCCCCAACTGCGGAGCCGAATTTACGAGAACCACTGCACGAAACGGACACCTACTTCACGACAAGTGTAAGGGTCGACGTAACTCATGAGTCGAAAACGTTTAGATGAACGAATTGTATAAAATCAACAACACGAGTATGCGGGTCAGATGCGATTCTTGCTGCAACGTTCGTGGCTCAGCCTCGAACTGAACCGGATCTGGCGTTAGTGGCTTATGGTCTACCAACAACACCACAATTATTGGTACATTGCTTTTAAAGACGGCGTATTTTTGTCAGTTGCAAGGACTCGAAAAGATCGGGCCCTGCAGTCTGAATTTTTAAAGCTAAGGGGTCGGCTGGCGTTGTTTATATGTCACCAGCGATCAGATATGTGTCGTATCATGAAACAACTTTGGATGTCTGAAGAGGCAAGGACATACTGTTATTGGATTACCTCCGGAGCATATTGGGATTGGAGTCTACTTTTAGCCATTCTTTGTACTCTTTTTTTCACCAATACCCCCGTATAAGAGGCTGGTTTGGATGGAGTCGTACTATCTTTCTACTTCCATACTATTATTCTTCAATTGGAAGAAGCCCATAACAACGCTTTGCTTTTAAACACAGATTCACGATGGAGATGATTGACGCCTGGTCACCATAGATATATAGCAACACGTTATACCAGAGCTTCAGGAAACGAAGCTACAATCAGCAATATTTAGTGTGTGCCGTTTCAGGCATTTGACAGCTTAGCAACTCACTGCCAAAAAGCGCCGTACGTAGGTACACCGGTACAGGCTAAGCTGGAATGGATGACAGAAGTGAGCAAATTGAGGAGTGTAGTATGCAAGAATCGAACGAGGCATCGGATTTGAAACAAGCCAACCGTACAGGGAGGACGGGATGCCCCAGACTACTGGGAAGGGGATGTGAGTCCGAAGCAAATGATCGTCGCGGCACTCAAGCCCACCCTTGGCTGAGTGACCAGGTTTAGGGAACACAGCCGCGCCGCAAATAGCATGGACCAGGCCAAGAACACAAGTTGGCTTTAACGGGTGTGCCTGGCTTATGAGGGATAATAATTAGTAGGATAAGTACTCCGTAAGTTCTAGATGGGTTTTAGTGCCATCTTACGCGGACGCATAGCTCCACGGTGTGAGAAGGATTTGTGGTTTAAATGGAAACATTGGTAACGGCAGTAAACCGATCGTTGGTTTTCAAGGTCCAAACAAGATGATAAGCCAGCGAACCTTAACTTCGTGCGCCGGCTGAGACATTAAACTGCTATCCGACTCCGTGTCCGTGTCCGAACCCGTCTCGGCCCCGAAAACAAAGGCACCCCGGAGAACAGACTTGGACGAAAAGGCCGAGGATTGACACCTTGGTCCGGGGGTATTGCTGGCGAATGGACGGTCGGATCGTGGTCGTCCCAACGGCCGGCCGGCGTAACCACCACGCCCAGCAAGGCGGCGCGAAGTGAAAGGAACTGGAACACCCCTGTTCTGGGCTGCATTCATCACCCCCTTAGTCTTGCGTGGGGATGCTGTCAGGTTTGATACGCTCACACCTAGAGGATGTCATCTAAAATGCACCCCAATTCACCGACATGGCATGTGCATTGCATTTGATCTTTAATGAAACGGGGGCCAGCCACATGGTTTCTGGAACAATGAAGCCTGATTCTGTCAAAAAGCTGAACCAGCAACAGTCTGAAGTATAGGGCATTGATGAACGAGTATCATGGCCAAAGTAATGCATCAATGTATGTATGTATATGTATGAATCTGCTGACTTGACCTTGCACGGTTGCTGAGTGGAGATCATTGACGCGAGCGTACAGATTCCCGGTTCTTTTGTCAGAGTCTATCGCCCCCGAGGAGTGTAAGGGTCATTTACTCCTGTTGTCCTTGCAGGAACGACAGTTGTTGGATACTTACCGGCATTCGTGTCTACTGTGCTATGTAGCTAGGTAATTACGTTTATGTGAGCTGGCGAATCAGATTATATCGACTGTGACGGAACCTGGGTAAGTAAGGTAGTAGCTGGTAGGGTGGCATAAACCTGTACGGCACAGGTGCACATTACTGTACAATTGTAGCCTATGATAACCTTTTGACAGCTGGAAAACCGGAAGAAAATCTTAATAAATGCTTGTATAATCATGACGCCATGGACCACAACGACGGGACCGTCTTTCCTTTATAGTAATTGATTCGACAAGCGAAATCCATCACGGTGATGGATCAACCCCCAGACAGAGAATGGCGAGGTTCAGTGCCAAGTGTCACAATGGATCAGATCGTCGCCTTTTTGCTGTGAAAAGAGAGACATTTGTGTGTCAGCTTTCCTTCCTTATTCGGATAGCTCGCGAAAGGCGCGGATGGATTAAGGAGGAACCCTGGTAGAGCCTGGCCACCAGGGAGGCGCTGTCATAAGAGCGCCCAGTTTTCCTAGGCTGAGTGAGGCTCACTGATTAATAGCCCTGCAACCCCAGCGATCCATAGCATAACATGAGAATCAAGGATCTCGAGGCCAGACAAGAGGTCGTTGCGCAATGCGACGTTGATCAATGGTAAGGCACAAGCACTCTGGGTAGGGCTGGGAAAAGCGGGATGTTATGTCCAGTTAAGGCCAAATAAACGTGGAGGTGGGGATAATAAAATACATATTGGATTGACCTAAGAAAGAAGGGAGTCGTGCCCGTCTTCTTCCACAGGAACTGCAAGGTACCCGAAAACAGGTTCGCAGGACACAAGGTTGGTAAGGTAGTAGGTAAGCTGTGAAATGGCAATGTGCCGGCATAAGGGCTTTCCAAGTTCTGGGGACTAATGGATGCCATATCGTAGACTGGACGATAGTACCCGTCAATAAGACTCTTTGCTACGGAGTACATTTCAAGTCCTTTTGTCCTCGTTTTTTCTGTTCTTAGCTCCCTGATCGACCGGGGCTGCCAACCGAAATAAACAAGCATCCAAGAAACGCTGAAAGTCAATTCGGCGAACTGTGTGCGGTACATCGTTGGCCGATAAGCGCCTCAACGGTCAAACCTACAACACCAGAGTAGGGTAACATTTGACCCTTTCCCCAGGCCTGAACCTGGACGGAATGGCTCGCCTTCAACCAGGCTACCATACTTCTATCCGTAATTAGAGGATGATCGAGGTCGAGCTTTAGTTTTCGGAGATGATTGAGCCGCGCCTTGCTGTATCGGAGTTAAGCATTTTGGCCGTCGCCAAGCAAATAGAGTCGATAACAGCCACGTATCAATGGAGCAAACGCACAAGATTCGGGTCTACATACTCCCTATGCGTTATCCTGAATCTAATTATTTGGCGGTTCACACTTTCAAAGGGAGCTCTTCGTCCGCTGAAGATCTACTGATGACCAAAAGACCGCCCCGGAGCCGAACTTGGGTATTTCGGCCGAGCCGGAGATGATCTTCGCTGGCCCCAAAAATCTGCCCCTGATGGTCTCGTTTATCACCTAGTTAGCTCATGCTTTTCCTCCCAGGGATAATTCACCGTTCACTCGAATCGTGATCCTCCAGGATTCTTTCCATGCTACAGAGACCGTGGTATCATTTTTACTCCCCTATAGCACGCCGTCACCGACTCTGTTCCAACTCTATCACCCTGGCTGACTGACTCGCAGCGAAGCGATACTCTGCCACCCCCTTCTCACCCAGTTCAATTTTAAAATCTTTCTCGAATCATCACGGGCCAGGCATCAAGATCTGACATCTAGCTAGTGCAGTGCGCCTCGCCTCGCCGTACAGTAAGCTTAGTTTGCGAACAAATTGATCCTTCAAGCTGGACAAGCCGGACGCTGGGCTGAGTTTCCCGGCAGATGACGATGAGATGGTCCAAACGTCTGCTGGCGAAACAACCTAGACAACATCTTGCAGAAAAACAAAATTGAGCCTCATACCTTATCTGAAACGCCGTAATAAACATCTGGAGTAGACAGACGTACATACGCACATACGGCATCCGTGCTTTCGTCTAAGGTTTACTCGTCGTTAGGGGGTGTGTGCGACGAAACCCTCCGAGTCAAATCAACAAATTGACTCCGTAGTTGGTACCCATCCTGCCCAAACAGTCGATTTACACGAGTCTTCTGTGGTAGTTATCGGTAAACAGTTGTTTTATAAGAGCTCCATATAGTCCACTTGAATTGCTCATCAGGTCTACAAACTTTTTATTATTTTTAAACCTCATTTTGCGATGCACATGTAAAGATACAATACGTTCCAAGAATAGTCCTATGAAAAAGAAGAAACTCTTTCCTGTGTCTTGTCTTTGTTACCCCCCTCCCCGATGATCACTTACACGACTTACTGTGTTGAGTGTCGGCCGCCCTCCGACGGGGGTCCAACGTGCCGTTGAAGGAGCGCGGCCCGTCCTGCGCCCCACTGTGACATAAACGGTAGAAACCCCTGTGCATGTTCAAAGTATCCACTTGCCAGTAACCGTATCCGCACGTACCAACAGCAATCAAAACATCTCTTTTGTTGACATTCCCACACCCCATCTCAAACCACACTACAATGCCACAATGGTCATAACAGCGTCGCGATACCGGGCACGCAAGCAAAAGGTCTTCTGGTCCGTTTTCCAGACGGGCGTCTCATCGCCCACGCCGCGTTCAACTCCCGTTGCAGCCTTCACCGATCAAGGTGCCGCCTTTGGAGGTCCCCACGCGTCACCTCAGCATGCTCCCCCACCACCACCACCACCACCACCACCGCTATTCCACGAGACTCTCCAACATGCCGATGACCAGGTGAGGTGGGATCGAGCATGGCATACTGTCACCTCCAAGATCCAACTACCAACTTCAGTTGCGGTTGAAGATTCCTTTGGCACTTTGCCTCCAGAGTCACAAGACGTTGACTTGGATTTCCGTGATTCCCTAGCTCTGCTTCTCTACCCTGGCCGCTCTTTGCCCCAGGCAGCCCATACAGAAGACATCCTCCTTTGGCACACACATCAAGTTCGCCAGCACTTCATTCACCATGTTATGCCACTGTTGTCTGCGTGTTCCAGTCAGGGTGATCAGACACAGGTCTTGGCCTCAAGTGTCTCGACTCTCGAAGCAGCTCACAG